TTTTTTTTTTTTTTTTTGAGAGAGGGTCTTGCTGTGTAGTCCAGGCTGGTCTTGCACTCACTGTGTAGCCTAGGCTACAGTAAGAAGTCTTCCTGCCTCAGCCTCCTGAGTGCTGAGATGACAGGCATGTGCCACTGGGCCCAGCATCTCTTTTGGTCTTTTATTTATTTTTTTTTCCGGTCCAGGAGTCAAACTCACGACCTTGTGCTTGCCAGGCAGGCGCTGTGCCGCTGAGCTAAATCCTCAGCCCTCTTTTGGTCTTTCAAAATGAACAATATGACAGTGCCTGCCTGGCAAGCGTGAGGTCATGAGTTCGAGTCCCAGTACCAGGAAAAAATAAATAAATTTTAAAAATAAAATGAACACAATGATTTACATCTCCAGATGAAATAACAGGCTGCAATACTGTTCATTTTTTACTAGGGTTCATTGTTGGATGTAAGAGCACACCTCATCTTTCTAGTTGAGCTTAAAGGTCTGGGTAAGTCCCCTGAAGGCCTCAGTGGACTTACCAGGATTGTCAGAAAACTTTCCTCAATCTCCTTTGATTGGTTTGGGGTTGCTGAGAGCAAAGGATGCATGGACCTGGGTAGGGCTGAATCCTAAAGGTTGGTTCGCCTGGATTGTTCCTCCTTACTGCCTGCGTGTGCACCTATTTCCTCTGGACTGCCATTCCTGTGTCTCAAACTCATGTTTCCAACTCCAGAGCAGATCTCTAAAAGCAGCAGCCCCACTTGACTTTGTATCAGCCCTGTCTGAGAAAGGAAGCACTGCCAAGCAAAGTTAAGCCCATGATCAAGGGACCAGACGGACAGTTTTCTAACTGAGAGGGAAGAGAAAGACACCAGGCAGGCAGATTGGAGGGACTCATGCAGGCTGGTGTCACGGTGTGTGGGGATCGTGATGTGTGTGTCCTGGAGAGAGATTTCTCTAGTGTGCCTGGAGAGCAGGTCTTCACGCAGCATAGGATGCGTTTCTCCAGGGGTCGCGTGAGACACTTGCTCAAGATGCTGGGGGCGGTGCACTCTTACGTTGTGTCTCCCTGGACCGGCAAGGTTTGTGAGTCCCGTCTAACCCAGGGATGCGGTGTGTTGCGTCCTGGAGCTCACCTGCCTCCTGATACCTCTTCGCATTTCTGGGAAGGGGAAGGAAGTGCCGCCCATCTTTGGCGCCCTTATGCACAAGCAGTCATTTTCTAGGGATTCAGGAACCTCCAGCTGGAAAGAGATTCTCCGGATTGCACAGAGAAGCACGTTTCCATTTCCTAATCTTAGTAACAAACATCCCTATAAAAGGTGAACCGCCAAAACCTGCCCCGTTGCTTCCGGCCCTCAGACATGCGGGAGAGCACCAAGCGGCAGCCAATTACAAGTATGAGAACCATCTCAGGGAGCTGTGCATAAAAGAGCAAGCCATCAAGGAAGAAGCCAAGCAAGTCAAGGAGGAATACAGGGCCCTGTGTGCAAAATAAAAGGTGCCCCATCAGAGAAACCCAGACGTAAAAGGGATCACAGTCTTTCCGTGCTCTGGACTTAAAGCCCATTTTCATTGACAAAAAATACGAGGCGTAAGCAACCCACGAACAAGGATGACAATTCTCGATTACCTAAGCCAGTCACAATCCAGTGGAGATACTCTAGGCTGTGAGGTGAAAGCAAACTCTTAGCTCCTGCCCAGGATCTTGGTGGGACCTCTGGTCGGTCACTGAAGGCCCTCCCAACCTGTTAGCTGTCGGATGTGCTGAGATTGTATCTCCTGACATCACAGAATGGACTTGAGGGCAAAGGGGACCAAGAGTAGGAACGATTTATTGAGAGCTCCTGCGAGATAAGAGGGGTCCGGGATGTGGGTGGCCACTGAGGCTTTTTGTCGAGGACATTTACATGGCACAATCACAGTGTGGGTAGCTGGGGGTCAAACTCCAGCCAGCCTGTAGGCTTGTAAGTATAGCTGCTTAGCTAATACTGATCCAATAGGGAAGTGAGGCACCAGGCAAGGGTACATGGTGGGCATCATTGACCTGGATCTTCTAGAACTTCCAACATGGAAAGAACAAAGTTGGTCCTCACAAAGGATGGGAGTATGGTCAGGGTGTTCTGGTCACCCACCTATATGGCTTGCTGTACCAGGCAGTGCTAAGTACAGCATAAGCGGAAGCTACTGTTTATCTGCAGGGAGGCTTGGCTTCAAATTCACCTCTAGCAGGGGCTTAGTGGCGTACCATACGCCTGTCATTCCAGCACTCAGGAGGCTGAGGCAGGAGGATTGCTGCAAGTTCCTGTGAGTTAGAGGCCAGGATGGGTCACATAATTTAAAGCCATCCTGTACTACATAGTGAGACCCTGTCTCAAAATAACAAAATACTGGCTAAATAGCCCAGGCTGTCCTTCCAATTGTAATCTTCTGGCTCAGCCTCCCAAGAAGCTGGGATTACAGGCGTGTGCCACCATGCCTGGCTTAAGAGGGTACTTTTAAATGCTCTCATCACAAAAATTAAGTATTTCCAGTGACTGATACATTTGTTAAAATTATTCCACATTGTATACATGTGCAAAAAAATCATATTATACCCAGTAAATGTATTTGATCAACTTAAAATAAAAAACTTTCAAAATAAAAAAAAAGTAATAAACCTGCCCCCATACCCTCTAATCTAGAATCACCAATAAAATTTTTTCTTTTTGTCTTTTTGAAACAGGGTCTCTCTATGCAGTTCAGGCTGGCCTTGGGCTCACTTTGTAGCCCAGACTGGTCTGGAACTCACAACAATCCTCCTGCCTCAGCCTCCCGAGTGCTGGGATTACAGGCATGCGCCACCATGCCCGGCTCACAGTTTTATTTCCTAAATCTGAGAATCCTATTTTGGGGCATGTTGACCCTGTAGCTTCATCTATGACCTACACTTCACAGGGAGCTTGGCAGCATCTGGAAGACAACGAGGAACTAGTGAAAGGCCGTGACAGGATTAGAGAAACGATGCCACAGATTTCACGAAGATCAGTTTGTGTCAGCCTTGTATATTAGGACTTCCATCTCTTAACATCCATAGTCACTCAACAACCAACGCCATCCCACTCCCACAAGGCAACATCTTCCTTATTGCTGACCCCAACTCTGCACCATCCATGAACTCTGAAAGCCAATGGCTGGGAAGCCAATGGGTCTTGGTCCTGCTTAAAAATCTCGCATGGTTCCTATTTACCTCAGGATAAATTGCAAACGGTACTGGCCTGGCATGGCTTTCTTCCAACTGAGTGCCAGGCTATTGGCTGACTTAGGAGCCCTGGGGATCCCACTTGACTCTGCCTGTTGCTTCTAGACTATAGTCCATATTTGACAGCAGTCTCGATGTTATTCTAACAGTCAAGAAAAAGTGGCGAACTCTGCCAGCTCCTTCAGAGTCCTGGGGCCTTGGATTCCGCTTTGCCCACACCCAACATGGTGTGGGAGGACCAATAACTTTTTTTTTTTTTCGAATATAATTTTTACTGCCTACTTGTTATTTTCTTTTTTCTTTTTTTTTTTTTTTTTGAGGCAGAGTCTGGCTATGTAGTTCAGGCTGGCCTTGAGCTCACTTTGTAGCCCAGGCTGGTCTTGAACTTGCAACAGTCCCCCTGCCTCAGCCTCCCACGTGCTGGGATTACAGGCGTATGCCACCAAATTCAGCTTATTTTCTTGATTTGTAGTTTTTTTGTTTTTAGGTTTTTGAAACAAGGCCTTGCTATGTGTCCTAGGCTGCCCTTGAATTCACTATGTGGACTAGGCTCAAACTTGCAGCAATCCTCCTGCCTCAGCCTCCCCTGTGCTGGAATTGCAGGCATGTGCTATCACAGCCAGCATTTTAATTATAATTTTTGTGTATAGAAGTGTTTTTCCCAGCCAGGCGTGGTGGTGCACACCTGTAGTCCCAGCACCTGCATAGTGAGACCCTGTCTCAAAAAGACAAAAAAAAAAAAAAAAAAAAATTGTTTTTCCCCCACTTAGATAGTGAGCAAGTTGCTGTATTATTTGATTTTTTTGGAGACAGGGACTCACTGTGAGGTCCAGGCAGGACTTGAACTCACTATGAGGTCCAGGCAGGACTTGAACTCACTATGTAGCCCAGGCTGGCCTCCAACTCATGGTAATCCTCCTGCCTCAGCCTCCTGAGTGCCAGGATTATAGATGTGTGCCACCGCACCCCGCTGCTGTATGATTTAAAATATTTTAATGGGCTGAAAGTGTCCTTAACAAGTCCCTTTGTAACTACTGCTGATTCCAGCCTCATAAGTAATACTGTGGTGAATATTCAGGTCCCAAATCCTTTATTCCTGTTTTATTTCCCTGGCTGTCCTGTAACTGGGTTGAAAGGGGTGAAATTTTGAAAACCTTTTCACAATACTGTGCTGCTGCTTTCTGGAGCCAGTGCACCAAGTGCTCCTCCAGCCAGCAGTTAGCTTGGGCTGCCCGCCACCTTTGCATCAGGCTGGGTTTCAAGAAAATCTCTGGAGCAGGGCATGGTGGCCGCTCCTGCAATCCCAATGCTCTGGGAGCCTGAGACAGGAGGATCAGGAGAGTGAGCCCAGCCCAGGCACTGGCAACTTGTCAACTGGTCGAGACCCTGTTTTAAAATAAAAATTCTATTTATTTATCTATTAAAAGTTTTTAAAAGGCTGTTGATGTAGCTCAGTGGAAAGGCCCTGATTTAATCCCTGGTCACCCCACCCCCACACCAATAGCAACAAATCACTGTCCTGCTCACAGAGTTCTTGGGTTATTTGATGGTGCCATGGTTAGGGAAGACTATGGAGTATGACAGACTTGGGATCCTGTACTTGTTCTGCCGACTCGGAGCTCCCTCACGTGTTTTGAGGATTTTATTTTTTATTTTTTGTCTTTTTGAGACCGTCTCGCTGTCAAGTTCAGGCTGGTCCTGAGCTCACTTTGTAGCCCAGGCTGGTCTTGAACTCACAAGGTTCCTCCTGCCTCAGCCTCCCGAGTGCTGGGATTACAGGCGTGTGCCACCAGGGCCAGCGTGTTTTGAGGATTCAACGAAGTGGCGTAAAAGTACTTCAGAGATCTCTAGTACTAGCTCCTCGCACATGCGCAGAGGGTAAGCTCCACGGTGCAGCCGAACTAGCCTGGGCGGAGCCAGAGGCCCGACTGCGACTAATCCGAAGCCGAGGCCATGGCGCCACGCCCCTTGTCCCGGGTCTTAGAAGGGCAAAGAAGGGGCGCAGGGACAGCCACGTGGGGGCGGTCCTTCCTCCGTGGGCTGTGGTTCCCGAGTCCGGGAGCGCATTTGCGAGGGGACGGGAAACAGGGCAGCCTCTCCCGTCCCCCAGGCTCTGCCCCGCGGCGGGCCCGGCAGCGCGGCGCGGTTCCTTCAAGCCCCGCGGGCGCAGCGCGGGGTCCCTGTCCCGGCGGC